TTAGACAATAATTGTGGTGAACAACCATTTACATCGACACCCGAGACAATCACTGAACACATCGCACGCGTGTGAATGGCCGCCAAACTCGGGCGCCGGTACGGGAAGTACGCCCTTCTCGTCTCACTGGGCGCCGGCATCTCCTCGTACGCCGCCTTCCGGCTCATCGACCAGAAAAAAGAGGTACACTTTACCCGCAAAACCAAAACCCTTCAGCAGGTATGACGAACGCATGCTTTTCATAACAATCCTCTTGTGTGCCATCGCAGAGGCTTTATGTGAACGCCTCATCACCACCACAGACATCATCGTCACCGCCGCTGAAGCAGGTGTCGAGCAAAGCGCTGCCCTCCAGACAGGACCAGCTCAAGAGCCTCCGCGAGACCAAGGAGTTCGATGTGCTGGTGATTGGCGGCGGTGCCACCGGTTGTGGCGTCGCTCTGGACTCCATCACCAGAGGTAGGGATCGTTTTGGGAGACATACCGCGAGATAATCGCTAATTCAATGTCTTGCGGACAGGTTTGTCGACGGCGTTGGTCGAGTTGGATGACTTCTCGTCCGGCACATCCAGTCGCAGCACAAAACTCATTCACGGAGGGGTCAGGTATTTGCAAAAGGCTATCCTGAAGTTGGATGTGGAACAGTATAAGATGGTCAAGGAGGCGGTAAGGCATCATAAATTTCACCACACAATTAAAGACTAATAATTTATGTTTATTATTACGACTTTTGAATTGAACGCATGCTTCAGCTCCAAGAGAGGGCCAACCTATTGGAGATCGCGCCGCACCTGTCCTACCCCTTACCCATTATGCTACCCGTCTATCATTACTGGCAAATACGTAAGTATTAAATCCAATAAATTACATACAATTGCAAAACTAATCAATAATACTAATTAAACCTCCGCCTCCTCTCCCCCATCGACCGGACAGCCTACTTCTGGGTCGGTATCAAAATGTACGACTTGGTCGCCGGCACTAAAAACGTGAGGTCTTCGTACTATCTGTCGAAGAAGGACGCTATGGATCTGTTTCCAATGCTGAAGAGCGATTCGCTGGTGGGTGCCATTGTCTACTACGACGGCCAGCATAACGACGCCCGGATGAACCTGTCGATAGCGCTGACGGCGGCCCGATATGGGGCCACAATCGCCAATCACGTGGCGGTCGTTAAACTCAATAAAGACGGGGAGGGAAAGCTGATCGGCGCCCGACTCCAGGATCAGATGACTAAACAGGAATGGGATGTGAGGGCCAAGTCGATCATCAACGCCACCGGTCCCTTCACGGACAACATTCGCCTGATGGACGACCACAACACCCGTAAGATCTGTCAGCCGAGCGCCGGCGTCCACATCGTACTGCCCGGCTATTACAGCCCCGAGAGTATGGGTTTGTTGGACCCGTCGACCAGTGATGGACGCGTCATATTCTTCCTCCCGTGGGAGAAGTGGACGATCGCCGGCACCACCGACAGGGTGTGCGAAGTGACGCACAGCCCGACGCCCACGGAAAATGACATTCAATTCATACTGAATGAGATCCGACACTATCTCAGCCCCGATATTAACGTCCGTCGCGGAGACGTGATGTCCGCGTGGGCTGGCATTCGACCGCTGGTTTTGGATCCGTCCAAACCGAACACGGAATCGATCGCCAGAAACCACATCATCGACACGAGTCCATCAGGTCTGGTGACAATTGCTGGCGGAAAGTGGACGACGTATAGAGTGATGGCCGAGGAGGCGGTCAACGCTGCCATTGCTTTCAATCCGGAACAGTTAAGTCACGCCACGGAATGCAAGACTTTGGGTCTTATTCTGGAGGGCGGACACAACTGGACGCCGACGCTATACATTCATTTGGTCCAGGATTACGGCTTAGAGCCCGAAGTTGCCCACCATTTGGCCAACACGTATGGGGACAAGTCGTTCGCTGTGGCGAAGTTGGCTGAGCTGACTGGCAAACGATGGCCAGTGGCCGGGCGTCGGCTGCACTCCGAGTTTCCCTACATTGAGGCCGAGATCCGGTTTGCGGTGAGAGAGTACGCCTGTACTGCCGTTGACGTGATCGCCCGACGCCTGCGACTGGCGTTCCTCAACACACAGGCCACTGAAGAGACGTTACCACTGATTGTGGAGATTTTGGGCGAAGAGCTAAAGTGGAGTAAATCCGAGAAAGAGTCGCAACTGAAGAAAGCCATGGATTTCTTGAAGACAGAAATGGGACAACAGGTGAACAAAGAGTTGAGAGATTTGTCGCCCATTTCGCTGACGAAGGATGAGATCAATAAATACAGCAAACAATTCCATTCACTCGATCGCGACCGCAAGGGTTACATCGGTATCAACGACTTGAGACGATCCATGAAAGTAAGTGCCGGTCGAGTGGCTGACCACTTGTCTGATCCTCTACTGGATTATCAGATAATTAACGAATTTGTTTGATTACTTTTAGGCGCAGGGAGTGAAGATGAGCGAAGAGGAACTGCATCTAATGCTGAGCGAAGTGGACATCAATAAGAACGGGCAGGTGGAGCTGGGCGAGTACCTGGAGCTCATGAGCGCCATCAAGACGGGCACCATCACCAACAGTCGCTTCTCCAAAGCGGCCGAACTCGAGTTCAATAAGATATCGGTCGACCGGGCAGGTGGTGGCCTATAAGACCGGCCCCACACTCCCCGCACAACCATCTAATACCTGTTCCATTGATTCCCCAGATTTACACATATTTTTATCAAATAGTTTTTAGGTTTAGACTTAAGTTTTTTTTTAAATCTCCAACTCCTGGAGACCCACTTTTGTTGTTGAATTGTTTTAAAGTGTTTTTCTGTCGTGAAAACCCATATCTGTCTCTCTCTATATTATCTCTAACATTGAATTTAAAGTGAATTTCAAAGCATTTAATTATATATTTCAATGACTAGTCATTTGAGGACATCATACGATATATTTTAGGCACACATTTGTTTCGGTCGTAAATGTTATCCGATTTGTGACAAATAATTAATTAATTTCATACTTAAATCTCTAAAAAAAACAAACTTATATTAAGTATTTTAAACGAGTTATTATCGACGTATCGTTTTATTGTTATAATTATAATATAAATGAATTCCTGATTTTAATTGTAAACCAATTATCAAAATAAAAAGTTTGATTTAAACACTAGAAAAAACTAAAACTTAATTCGCGAACGAAATGTTGGCTTTTATTAAAACTCTTATCAAAACAATATATTAACCCAAATGTTGGTCCAAATCAGTGGATAATTAATCGCAAAGTATATCATAAAATCATTGATAATAATAAATGGTTTAAGAGGTGGTGGTGTGGGAACCGTTCGCTTAAGAACGGGTATATTTGCCCCAAATATGGAGCATAAAAACCGATGCTATAAACACGAGACTCATGATCAGCACCGGTACGGGACCACTGAATAGAGGGGACAGACATCACACGCCAATTAGTACACCAAATGGCAAATCACACGCAAAAATACATACACTTTAATGCCGGGCGAGTCGTCCGTATAGAACCTCCACATCCCTCCGCTGTTGGCGGCGGCCGCTCGCGACCTGCCGGCTCCACCAGCGCCGGCACTCCCGCCGCCCACCTTTCGCTGCTTAACAGTACCGCCGGAGCCGCCGGCGCCCCGGGAGGGCATCGCTCGCGGCGATCGGCCACCAGCTCCTACTGACGTACTACTGGCCGGTGCGGGCTATGCATACATACGGGTGATCGACCGAAACAGTTAGTCAACCGGCGTTTACATCCATATCCTTACCATTTCGTGTGTGGTTTAAGAGGTTTGGATGTCTTGAATGAAATTGATTTGCAATTCAAACGCGTTTTGAAGACACGACTCAAGAGTTGCTTTCAATTGCTGTGAGTTTTCGCCAAATGTTTGCTTTTTTGAAAACACGTCAGCGGGTCGTGTGGTTTGCACACAAATAGCGTCGAGTGATACGTGTGTTTGGGGTCTGCTTTATGGGAGGGTTTTGTGGTAGAACTCTAATGGCAAGTCTCCCGTAGGGGACGTAACCTTCATTTTACAATTGCATTATTAAATGGACGTTATTTAGCATATGAAATCCACTTGAATTTATCAATCATTCAAATTTCATAGATAACATGCAATTATAAACATACTTTTGACTCCCTATACAGCTATTTAACTAATAAAACAACTTAAAAGTAATTAAAATCTAAAATAACCAAGCTGATTAAAATGATAAAATATTATTAAATAACTGATATAAAAGTTACAATGGTAGTTCATATAACTAATCGGGGTTTTTTATTGCAAATCATATCCACCCAACCCATGCGATTGATATAACAGTATTTGTGAGGAAATGTTGAGCCAATTGAATGCAATGCGAAAGCAATGGCTATTGAATGCCATAACGTATTGTTTGTCTGCGAGGAGAGCGCCACTGAAACACAGCGTTTGCATTGAGTGTAGCGTTGAGTGAACGCAGAGACTGGCAGTCAGTATAGCGTGTGATGTCATGTGCGACACCCGACCGGCGCTTCATTACATGACCGAAGATTGCATTCATTTCATACAATTACTGTCTTTTTGTTTCATTTGTTTAATAGTTTTTTAATTGTAATTCATTTGTATTTATAGTAAATAGTGATAAATAATAAACACTTTTGTAAACATGGATTTGAGCCAAATCTTAGCCAAAACGATCTCTTCGGGTATGTTTGCCATTAAAGTTACCACTTATTGTCTCATTCATTATCTCATTGTCTGATGTCTTAACTAATGTCTTGTGATTGTATTGCAGATCAGAATGAATTGCAGGCATCCCTCCAATACTTGCAGCAATTGGCTCAACAAAATCTGGTCAGTATTTGTAGGCCTTTGCGGTGATAATGACCACAAACACCACTCCAATCACTCGCTTCTCTGTAGCCATCAATGGGTTTATGTATTCATTAAAGGCTTCACTGAATGCCAGAGATATGAGTGGTTTTGTGGTCTTATCTTCAGTGATAAGACAATCAGTCATTGTACCACTCCAATCACTCGCTTCTCTGTAGCCATCAATGGGTTTATGTATTCATTAAAGGCTTCACTGAATGCCAGAGATATGAGTGGTTTTGTGGTCTTATCTTCAGTGATAAGACAATCAGTCATTGATTTGTGTTTTTAATTGTCTTTTTGTTGTCGTTTTTGACTCAAAGCCGGAGTTTTTGAAACAATTATCAGAACTCTTAAGTAATATAACGAACGATGCGGTCATTCGGATGGCGGCCGCTCTTCAGCTCAAGAACCAGTTGACCTCAAAGGACGTGGAAGTGCAGCGTCAGTACCAACAGAGATGGCTATCCTTTGCCGAAGACGTCCGCAATTATATCAAACAAAATGTGTTGAACTCTTTGGGAACGGAGAACAGCCGGCCCTCGTCTGCGGCTCAGTGCGTGGCCTACATCGCCGTCGCAGAGTTGCCGCACAGTCTGTGGCCAACACTCATCCAAACGCTGACCCAAAACGTGACGAATCCCAACAACACTGAAATGATGAAAGAGTCGACTCTCGAGGCCATCGGCTATATCTGTCAGGACATCGACCCCGAGATTCTGGTCTCGCAATCAAATAACATACTGACGGCTATAGTCCACGGGATGCGAAAAGAGGAGACGTCGACTCACGTGATGCTCGCGGCGACCAACGCTCTGCACAACTCACTGGAGTTCACAAAAGCTAACTTCGATAAGGACTCGGAAAGGCATTACATTATGCAAGTGGTCTGTGAGGGCACTCAGTGTCCAGAGATTAAGGTATGCCTTCCACTCTCGAGCCACACTTGTGACCCATTTTTGACCCACTTTTGTGTCTATTTTCAGGTGAAAGTGGCGGCTCTGCAATGTTTGGTCAAAATAATGTCACTCTATTACCAACATATGGAGCAATACATGGGTCCGGCCCTCTTCGCCATCACAATGCAGGCCATGCGCTCAGATCACGACGAGATCGCCCTCCAGGGCATAGAGTTCTGGTCGAACGTATGCGACGAAGAGGTGGACCTATCGATCGAGGCGTCGGAAGCGGCCGAACAGGGAAGGCCTCCGTCGCGGTCGTCGAAGTTCTACGCGAAGGGTGCGCTCCAGTATTTGGTGCC